GCATAGGCTGGGCTCGAACCTGTGATCCTCCTGCTTTGGGCTCTCAGAGTGCTGGGATGAAGATGTGCGTCACTATGTTGGGCCATTTTCTCTTTTTTATAAAGATACAGTCATGTTGGGTTGAGACTTTAAAGACTTACCCTACTGACCTCTTCTTTCTTTTTATCTGGGCTCAGGTGGCCTAGCCTCTGGTTTCCCTAGTATTCCCTGAGGTAAGAACTGGAAGGGGTAACCGTCCCAGGAAACACCTCAGCATGCTGGGGGGCCCATGTCTTCTTCCTGCTATGTTTTCCCTGGGAGCAGCGCTGGGCCCCGAGTTTTCTCTCTGGGTGGTGCTGCACCACCCTGGGGGAGGGGAGAGGGTGACACCGTCTGAGGAAGGCCATGTCTGTGATGCTTTTGATGAAGACTTTTTTATTCACTTCCATGGAATAAGTGGGTGACCTAGTCTTCTTCCTGTAGTTCCCTGTGGTGCCCTCTCCCTGTCACTTGGCCCCAGTGTGGAGTCAGTTGTGGTTCTGACAGCACTGGAACCCAGGGCTGGCCCAGCCCCATAGCTTGGCAAAGCCTTGCCACCCAGACTACTGGGCAGAATGACAGGACTCTTAGGCCCAAATAGTTGCTCTCTGGAGGCCGGCGCTGGTTTAGTCACAGTGCTTACTTGAGTTTAATGCATGGTAAAAAAATCTTGGTGCTTTTGGAGGAGGCCTCTGGCCAGAACAACTGAAGACTAGAAGAGCAGAGCAAGTGACGTGGCCGCGGACAGGAAGTGAGACACGGCAGCGTGGGGCTGCACTTCTGAAGCTGCAGCAAGCCCTGCAGTCGCCTCGGGTCTTACACTGAAGCAGGTTTGGGTCTTCAGGGTGGGGTCTGGATCTGGGGTCGTATGTGGCCCCTCAGCTACCCCACGCTACGTGGAGTGGCAAGGGCCTGGGACAAATTGGAACTTATAGGCTGGCTGGTGCTTTTGCCTGTTTTCATGTGTCTCAGAACTAAGGTTTTTACATTTAATTTAGTTAATTTATTTATTTTTGGTTCCGGGGATTGAACTCGGGTCCTTGAGCTTATGAGGCAGGCGGTGGAACCACTGAGCTAAATCCCTGGCCCCAGTATTAATATTTGTGGGTCACACACACAGTCCAGCATGGTGGTAAACACCTGTGATTCCAGTGCTCTGGGAGGCTGGTGCATGAGGATCTCAAGTTTGAGCCCAGCTGGGGGCAACTTAACAACAGCCTGTCTCAAAAAAAAAAAAAAAAAAAAAAAAAAAAAAAAAAAAAAAAAAAGACTGGGTATGCATCTCTATGTGAAGGCCTGGGGCTCAATCCCCATTACTGCAATATATATCGATAAATACAAATAAATAAATATATATGTAAGTGGAAATAAAATTTCAATGCCCATAAAGTCTGACCAGAATGCAGCCCTCTTTAGTAGTGCTTATGCTATTTTTCTAGGCAGAATTGAGTGGTAGTAGAGATGTTGTAGTCAGTGGAGTCTAAGGTGCTTCCCATTTGGTCTTTACAGAAAGTGCTTGTTCTCAGAGTTGCCATAGCCAGCAGGGGGCAGTAAAGAGCCATGTATGGCCCGAGCTGCTGGAAGGCCACTTACAGGGTTCAATGCAACCTGTGATGAGAAGCTGGGCCTCTTTGGAGGAGAGTCTGAAGTAAGGGCCTGAGGTGGAAGTGGCTGGAGGAGCTGGGATGGCAGAATTATGAGGGAGTGTTGAGGTGATGCCCGGGTAAGTGGCAGTAAGAAGCAAGCTGATTTGCTGGAATGGAAAGGACAAGGCCTGTAGGGCATGGGAGAGCCCTGGCGAAGTGAGGACACCACACAGGGCCTGGTCTTCAGATGAGGGCATAGGGAGTTACTGAAGGTCTTTGGTTGGTGGAATGATGGCATTGGCTTTGGGAAGAGGAGCTGTGTTTTGGTGTCTGTGCCTCAGGGAGTGCAGTTGCACCAGTCCAGGAGCAAGGTCAAGAGGGGCTAAATGAGGCCATGACAGACCTGTCCTGTAGACAGCCCAACCCAGAGTCTGCAGAATTCACTGTCTCTTGCATTCTTTGTTTTCACCCCAGGACTGACTGGATGATGAGCAGTAGTGCTAATTTCTTCTTTTTCTCTCCCTGTTTTCCTCTGTTCTCTCTCTTTTCCTCCATTTTCATGCTCATCATGGTGCAGTAGAATTAGTACTCTGTGCTTCCTGCCTAGACATAGTCCTTACAGTGGCTTTTGTGGTTGTTGATTTCATCCATTGGAAGTTGGTTCTACTAGCTTAACTCTCAGTGTGGGTGAGGCCTTTTGACACCTTTTTGTTCTGCTTTAGAGAAGTATTTTTTTTTCTTTTTATTGAGTTTATTTGATACAATCTAGGTATACAATACAATTACATTCATCATTGGAATTCTGTACCTTTACATAATAGGTCTTGATTCTCATTTTTCCCCTTGTCCCTGCCCTCCCTTCACTCCCTCCTCCCCTCCCTATTTACAAATACTTTATTTCCATTTTTTCAGTTTCTCATATTTTTTTCCTCTCCCTTATTACCTTTCCCCTACCCTTCCCACTTTCCCTACACCTTTAGCCCTTTAATTCCTATTTCACATTATTAATTATCTCATTAGGATCCTGTGTATTATTATAGTTTTTCACACCAAAGAAACACTTCGGTATTTCAGTTAAAGAAATCTCTCTATGAACATTAAAAATAGGGAATCCTAAAATAAAACTAAAAAGGAAAGTAAAAGAGAAAAGGCAATGATGTAACATTAAAATAATCCTTAATTCTGGAGATGAAAATGGTCCCTGAACATATTTACATTGCTTCTCGCTCTTATAGTCTTATCTTATTCTTTTTTTTCATTATTTAGAGAATACTTTATTAGTTTCTGTAATCAAACCCACGTAGATATGACCTTCCTTAGTATGATGTGTTACCCCTGTACACATGGAAAAAAAATTTAAAATAAAAATAAATTAACATTTCTAGACCAATATGGTTGTCCATTTCTGTACAATGCCAACTCAATACAGTAAATTGGGATGACTTTTTCCAAAGTTGGCAGCACGGTTAAAGTTTCCCAAAATTCAATTTATATATATATGTATATATATATATATTTATATAAAAAGACTAATAATAGTATGTTAGGCATCGATAGCAGCAACAGCTTTTCCAGGTTCTGCAGTCATCTGAACAAAATTATAGACATTCAGCACATTCCATTAAAAAAAACAACAACAACAAAAAAAAAAACAAAGAAAAGAATAATATCCAGAAAACAGCAAAGCTCTGTTGCTGTTGTGGTACCTGGCACCATTTTTTCTACTAGCCTCTTAATCATCATCTGGAAAGAGAACATTCTAGAGTAATATCATTAAATGTAGCTCTGATAAAGCACAGTCCCTACTATGTATCATAAAGCAGGTACTAGATATTTTACATTCATAGAAGTATGTTACAGTATTGTCCTACATCAATAATACTAGATTCAGTTTTGGTTTAAAATTTACTTTGTCTGCAAATAAGATTGCTACCCCTGTTTTTTTTTCTGGGCTCCTGTCACATGGAGAATTGTTTTCTATCTTTTCACTTTCAGTCTATGGGCTTCTTTTTGCACTAGGTGTGTTTCTTGTAGACAACATATTGTTGGATTTTGCTTCTTATTCCATTTTGCCAGTCTATTTCTCTTGATTGGTGAGTTGAGGCTATTGACATTGCTGGTTATAACTGATATGTACTGACTTATTATTGACATGTTATTGGCCTTTTGTTGACTCTTTTTACTTTTTCATTAGAGAAGTATTTCTTGATGTGGAGGGTGGGGGCTCTGAGGCTCCTTTCAGGATCTAGTGAACACCTTTAGAAAGACAAGAAGATGCACACAGGCAGGTAGACCCAAAGCTTCAGATGCCATTGTGGGGGTTCCTGCCCTCAGAGAGGTGAGGACCCTGGCTAGAGGGCACCTCCACTTTGAGGTTTAGGGCTTCATATTAAGGGTTTAACATGGTGGCTATCCATTTCCTTCCAGAAGTACCTGTCCACCCTAACTTTCTTACCAGCCCTGTCTGTTGGCTGTTCTTGAGCAAAGATGCTAATACCTAAATCTTTCTTTGGAATGGATTAAAATCTTCCAAACAGAAAAACCAGGAGTTGGTCTGACCTCCTGGTGTGGAGGCCTTGTGGGCTGGCTGTGTACGGGCAGAGTGTAGGCTCCGGGAATCTCCACAAGGGCAGACCCTGTCTTGAGCGTGCATCCGGAAGCACTGTGGTGGTGGAACTGGGGACGTACAGCATTTTAAGATGGAGATCTGAATACGTTATGAAAATCTCTTTCCTTGAAACAAAGAAGGTAATATATTAGAAGAAGTCTGATTTGGGAAATTAGCCACTATAACTAGGAGTAAGTAGATTACATTTTTAAAGAGATTAATTTAATCTTCATCACAAGGAACATTTGCAGGAATACATTCATTCAATTATGAAATCTTTCCAAAGGGCAAATAGAAATTAAAGCTTGAACTATTTTTTTAATTATCCAGATTTAGAAAATCTAACGCTGACTTTTAGTAAAAAGTCATTCCCAATTATTATGGTATCTTACTCTGTGGGGTGTGTGTGTGTGTGTGTGTGTGTGTGTGTGTGTAGTGCAGTGTAATTACTATAACACAAATCTCCTATTTTGGTGTACACGTCAGAGATATTCAGTAAATTGAGGGCTGTAAAACGAACCTCAAAAATCTAATTTTTGAGCATTTCTATTACCCCAAAAGGATCTCTATTTCATCGCAAAAAATGATCAAGATATTTTATATACACACATCAGTTCCCCAAAATGGACATACCTATTATGTATTGCAAACACACATAAATTAAAAAATGCAAATGATTTTTAAAAGTGATGTTTGAAAAATAATTTTAATGTACTGGTTTCTGTATGTGCAGCACCTAAGTTGTGTTCTCAACACAGTAAAGTGACCTTTACTGATCTCTCCTCCAGGCAAACGGGAGACAGCTGGGGCAAGGCTCCTGCAATCTTATCAGAGGCTGAGGTGAGTGTTACAAAGGACAGATCAGCCCTCCAGGGTAGGATTGCAGAGGACACCTTGAAAGAACTTACTGATCTCTTGACTTTCAGAGGTCACCACTTTGGAATGCAACTTTTTTTTGTAATGATAAGGTACCTGGAAAAGACGGAAGCAAAGATGTTTACAGATTCTCAGAGGAGCCTTCTAGCTATCATAGTGTTTTCTCAACTTTCTACTTTGTTTCTCACATTCTCCTGAAGAGTTGTAAGAAAGTGAAATACCACTTTTGATTGCACATTTGATGACATTCTAAACCAAGCATTTGCTTTATTCGTTCATATCTCTAACACCTTACCTGGTGCCAGGCACCTTAGAGATATTTGTGGAATAAACATTTGCACCCGCTGAATAATGGTCCGAGAGTTGTTAACTTCTTTGCACCAAGTTCTAACCCCGCACAGCCTTGCAGCTGGCTGCAATCCACTCAGCTGATTGTTCTGAACTTATTCAAGTTTTTCTGAGAGTTCCCACCAGCTGCCACTTTTTTGGCTTATGATGAGTTTTGTCTAATCTCAGAACTTCATTTTCCTGTCCTGTTTGTTCCCACTTTTTAGCCCAACCCCCTAGTTCCTTTCATGATGATTTTTTTTTTCACCTGCTCCATTGTGGCCCTTCTGCTGCTTTGGTTCATACTGAGAGAACCCTGAAGTTCAGAAGGCACCCTGCACATGAAGGCTCTGGTCCCCTGCTCCCCAACTGTTCAGAACACAGGGCTGGCATGGACGTCTGGACTTTGATTGGCTCTCAGATTCTAGAACAGTGCTCCTTGGAGCAGCAGGTCCAAGCATGGCTATTGAATCTTTTTCCAAAAACTGAGGCAGTTAAAAACAAGCAAAAAATACTGAATAGTTTCTCTGGTGTGAATAATCTGCAATAATACATAAGATCCTAATAAGATTACTGACATTTAGAAATGGGAAGAAAGGAGCTAAAGGTGTAGGGAAGGTGGGATGGGTAGGGCAAGGGTAATAAGGGAAAAGAAAAAAATGCGAGATAATGAAAAGATGAAAATAAAGTGTTTGTAGATGGGGAGGGGAGGAGGGGGTGAAGGGAGGGCAGGGGTAAGGGGAAAAAATGAGAATCAAGACTTGTCATGTAGAGGTACAAGATCCCAACAATGAATGTAACTGTACTGTATCCCTAAAATGTACCAATAAACTCAATTAAAGGTGAGAAAAAAAAAAAAACAAGCAAAAAGGGCTGAGAACTTCAGTTATAGAATAATGGCACTTGTATATTTGTAAAACTGGTGACTTGCATAATTTGCAACCTGTCTCTTATTTCTGTATTTTTCCTTGGTAGCACAATCTCCGTGGTTCCTCCTACTCCACCTCCACTCAGTGAGAGCCAGTGCAGCGGCAGCCCTGGCAGGGTAACTGTCTGTGGGACGTGGGGAGGTGGGAGGACAGAGGCTGGAGAATTGGGCCAACAGCCTTGCAGTGAAGGGATCCAATTCGGACTGCAGTGAGTCCCAGAGGAAGGCAGAGAGTGAAGGTTGGCGGTTGGGCATTGCTTTCAGCCTTATTTGCTGGTCCTGGACCATCGACGCTGTTAGCTGACCCCCTTCTGCCTCTGAACTGAGTCCTCATCTCTCTGTTCTCCCTCAGCAGTGGTTCCCAACTGTACTCGGTGTCTTTGAGTGTAGGGTCTGGAAAGGCTACATAGGAGGGAGTAAGTAGTGGGTCGGAAAGTCCCCAGGGAAATTACAAATTGACTTTCGGGCTGTGAGCATGGGAGAGCCTGTGAAATATGAGTGTATTTTGTGAGTGCAGCCTCTGATGTAAAGTGGACCAGCACCACCTCTGTCCAAAGAAATTAGCTGTGCAGTCTTGGGGAAGTTACTTGGGGTTGTTCACACTAAGAAGTAGAAGTAATTCTATTTGCCTGGCTTGTTTCCCGTGGCTTTTGTAAGAAATCAATAAAATAATGTCTGCATGCGTACTTGGAAACTATAAAGTGCCATGGAAACATATAGTCTAGATTATTTTCATTATTCCATGAAGTAAGGGGGCAATTATATTGGTAAATGGGAGAATATGCATATCTGCTTATGAGACAGAAAAAATATGTGTATTCTGAGTTTTACACTGAGACTCTAGGGTAACATCAAAATCCTGTCTACCTTCTTGAGATTTTAAGTATTCCAAAGCTTTTCTAGCACCTATGTGTTTGAGTTTAGAGTATACTAATTGGATAGATGGGTGGATTGCAGATGGATGAATGGACTGTTGACTGCACAGTGGGTGATTGGATGGGCAGTGGGTAGTTGGAGGAGTGGAGAGTAGATGGATGGCTGGTGGATGGATGAATGGCTGGATACAAGGGTGGATGAACTGGTGGATGAACAGTGAGTGGTTGCACGGAAGGGGACTAGTTGGATGGGGTTGGGTGATGTGGGTGGATGGGTGGAGAAGGAAATGATCACTTTTCTGTTTGTTTTTTTTTTCTCTCTCTCTCCTTTTTTTGGGTAATCATTTCTTCTTTGGGAGGCAGAATTTCCTGGCTCCAGGCTGGTCACTTTGGGTCTTCTACTGTCCTCAGACCCTGTGTCACTTACATTCTGCCCAGGTTGCTACTCCTTCTGCATGGAGTTGGAGTTGGGCCGTAAGAGAAAGGAGGTTAAACAAGCAGTGATTTACTTGAGTACAATGAGCTAATGAAACATAGAGGTAGTTGTTATCTTGGGACTGACTCATTGATAATGCTCCTTCCTTTAATGAGGATGTCAGGCTACAGGGGAGAGACTCCGAGTACAGAGGCTGCTATCTCTTGGGAGGCTGTGTCCCTCCACCTCTGGACACGCATGCATACACCCACACCTGCACCCCCCAGCACGCACCCCCCTGCAGTGTTTTGGGGCCAGTAATCTGGTGATGAGGGGGCAAACACAGGTCATCGAGCATAACTCATTCCCCTGTTTCTTTTTAGTTACAGGAACTGGGTCAGTTTAAAGGATTTAATAAGTCCCTGGAAAATTTGTTTCTGTCTGTTGCCACCCACATGAAAAGTAAGTGGATACCTTGGGATGTGTTCTTCCCACCATGCAGGCCACCCTAGGGAAAGCCACAGGACCCGGCCCTGCATCTCTTCACCGAGAGTAGGCCTCTGGTTCCTGGGGAAGGAGGAAACCCCTTTGGGGTGCCTCATCTTCCTCCCTCTTGCCAAAACCTGCCTGTCAGCCCCATGAACAAAGCAGCATGGCATATTTAGACCTTCCAGAGGACCAGCAAAGGAAACATAAAGATATGATTACAGAGAATCCAAAACCAGGACCTTTCAAGCTATGTGGAGCGAGCCTAGTACCTGTCATTTGCCTGGAATTATGTGTCTGGTTTTTTTCTCCTTGATAAATTTATTTTCTTCAGTTTGTGGTAATTCTGCAGTTTGCAGATGCAGGCAACCCAGAGCCATCGCTGCTTGGAATCCAGTCTCTTTCAGTGTTCCTTCTGCTCAGATACATTTTTTTCCCTGTTTATCTTAAAATGCAAGCCCTAGACAGACCCCTTTCCCGCATCCTGAGATCCATAGAGCTGACCCAGGTGTTTAGGAAATGTCCTTAATGACCTCAGGGGTCCTTTGCTCTTTGCACTCCTGTTTAGCTTCTATTCATCATCCCTTTTTCTGCAGTTGCCTATGTACGGGCCCATTGTACACTGGCTCTGAGACAATGTTGTGATTAAATTTTAATTGGTCATCTGTATTCTGCACAAATCCTATCTGAGCTGCCCCATGACAACAATTGAAATTAAAACCCTGTTCAGATAAGCTGCAATAGCCACTATCTCCTGCTACAGTCTGTTCCCTTCTCTTTCAGAAGGGGAAAGCAGCTGAATTATTCGGGCTGGCTTACCAACAGTGTCTGGGAGTAGAAATCACCCCTCTTACTCCTACCCCGTGCCCGTTAGCTGGCTGTCACAGCTGCCCATGCTCTGTGAGGCTGGCACTCTTCCCGCACCTCTCTTCTAGTTGGACCTTCCTTCTTTCTAGGTGCGTGCCCCTCCCCAAATTCCCATGATTCCTGGGAATTCCCTCCCCGCATTGCTGCTGCACTGTCAGTGTCTTAGAGTTAACCTAATCCCAAGATCCCCAGCCCCAGAAATCCAAAGGGGCAGGGCACTTAGGTCACTGCACCCCTTGCCAAACAGGTGGCCCCAAACCTCACCTGTGAGCATCTGCCCACCTGTCTGAGACTCCAGTGTAACACCTGGATGGACAGCTAGAGCTAATCCCCAAGAGGAGCGAGGGAGATTCACAAGAGTGAAATGGCAAACCTCCTCAGATATGGGAATTCAGTTGAGACCCTGTACCCTGTGCCCCCAGTTTGTCCCCAACCCAGAGGCAAGGATAGCAGAAAAGCAGCTTTCTGGCTCCAGGTTTATCCTGGACCAGTGACCCGGAGGCTGGAAGGATGCCTTGCCCATCAAGGGCTGAGAAAGCCATCTCAAAATTACAACTTCTGGCTGCCAAAGTTGCCTGAACCAGCTGGAAGATAAGACATTATTCCAACCCTTTTTATAATCGCTAATTGCTAGGGGTTGGCAGCATGACAGTCCCCTTAGGAAAGAGGACGTTGATTCTTGCTCAGGAGTGACCTGTGTTTCCTTGTGTTCCCATCTCTCCCCAAATCATGCTGATGTATAAGCCCACTTGTTAGAACCAAATACTCGAGAAGGTCCTTATTCCCCTTAGTCTGTGAACTTGTAAGGGACTGAATATGCACCAGCTTCGGGCCACCCTACAGATACCATGGGAATAGCCCATCTTTGGTCAGCTTGGAAACAAGACTCTCATGCCCTCCACAGCCAGGCTGGGGTTGGTCCCATGAGGAGATCTCTGAGGTCATCAGTTAGAGGAACCGAGTGGGCTTGTCCCTTCCTGCTGCTTGCTGGCCATAGGGAGGTGCTCCAAGACACTTCTAGATGGCTGACTTGAGAACACAGGGTGGCATGGCCCTCACAGAGGAGAGGCTGGGAGATGAGGTGGCAGGATGGGTGGCCCAGAGTTTGGGGAGCAGGCGCAGGGTCTTCCTCTCTGGGAAGAGGTCTTTGAGTCTACCCCAGCAGTGCATGCAGAAAGAGCAAAGGTTTAGGGATTCACACCGTGACATCGTGAAGGGACTGGAAGTCAAAGGCTAGCCTGGAGCCACACTGTCCCTTACAGTAGCCTGTGGGTGGATACGTTGCTCTTGAGCCCCTGCAATGAAGCCCTCAGATAGGCTACAGGGCTGCACAGATAAGCTGTGTACCACTTTCAGAGATTGACTGTTTTTAAAAAAATGATTCCATAGATAACTATAATAGTTTTAAAATTTTTTATTGTTATACATTTGTAGTACATAATGAATATATTCATTATGGCATATTGGTACATACACATATATTGATTTTTGTAACCATAATAATATTTTGGATATATGAAATACAGAATTAAAATTAATGCCACCTGGTTCTTTTTACTGAACGTGGCTTCAAGAAAATAGCATTACATCTGTGGCTTGAAGGATGTCCCTGAACAGATAACAGTGCTGTGTCAGAGATAATGCTCAGGCCCACAGTTGCTAGGAGCCCTGGTGGAGGAAGAGTCCATTTAAGGTGGATCTTTCACTTCTGTGTGTGGTTCCTCCTTTCACACTTTAGTCCTCTTTTTTTTCTAGACCACCATTCTGCAAAGACAGCAGGAAACTTCTCATTCTTCTCAGGGTATGCTTACCAGAATAGTTATAAAGGCATGGCAGATCTTCCTTTTAAGACTCTCTGAGAGTCACAGGAATGGTATTTAGTTTCAAAATCATTGTCAGGAATCCCTGAAAAGTGGCTGCTTTGGTGGGCAGCCATCTTTGTGTCTGGACAAGTGTGTACTTATTCAGATGACCCAGACTGCAGGGGAAGTTGGCTTCCCTTCCACCCCCACCCTGACACTGGCTCTGCCCTCAGAGGCATATGACCTGTGTGACCATGGGGAGCCCTTAAAGGAATCCAGCTCCTCGCCTGCCTTGTGTCTAGCATGCAGTGTCTGGTCACTTGTCCGGTGTCCCTGTACCCTGTGTCCACGGACTATGGCATCAGCGTTGCCCTCCTGGCTCATTGGGTCTGTGGGTTACAGAGAATCCCAGAAGAGGCCTTTGCAGGCCTCAGCAAAGCTGCGTGCTCCTGGCTGTCAACTGTGTGTTTGTTTTTTAGAGCTTTCCAAGTCCCAGAATGACATGACCTCTGAGAAGCATCTTCTAGCCACGAGCCCCAGGCAGTGGGCAGGCCAGACGGAGAGACGGAGCCAGTCAGACACTGCTGTCAACGTCACGACCAGGGTACCTGAGGCCTGGCTGGCCTCTGCGCCGAACCCCTTATTTTGCTTCCTAGAGCTTTCTAGTTTTTTCTCTGCAGATTTACTTTTCCTCTCACAGTAACATATTAAGGAGTCAAAAAACATAATGTTAAGCTCCTATCTTTAGGCAGGCCTGGCCAGAGCAGGGGCAGAATTTTAAGATTAAAGCCAGGTATAGTGGTACATGCCCATAGTCCCAACTACATGGGAAACTGAGGTAGGAGAATTACTTGAGTCCAGGAGTACAAGGCTGGCCTGGGCACCATAATGAGATGCCCTCCCCGCAAAATTAAGAGTTAACCTGGAAAACCATTGAGAACAGGGTCAGACTTTATCATGATCCTGAGCCCCTAAGGCTTCAAGGCTATACCAATGGCAAATAACTTACCTGCAAGGGCCAACACATGCCATTATTCTGTAACCCCCCCTCCTAGCCATTGAAAGACCTTCCTACTTCCACTTAGGGCCAGCAGGCTTTGGATAAAACCTATCTTGTCTTAGATGGAAACTGAAAATCACGCATACTATACTCAGCGAGAGTACACCTAAGGCAGGCTTTTAGGGAAGTAACACTGCTCTCCACCATGATTAACGACACTGGAAGCAGGTGCACTGGGCACAAGAGAGAGCAGAGTTGGGGATCAGAAGACCTTGGTCACAGAGGTGACCTGGCTAGGCAGAGGCTGGCACCTGTGTCCCTTCTCTGTGGCTCAGGACATCCTAGGCAAACTGACCTTTAGGTAAGGGTGTGAGGTTAACCCATTCTGGCTAGAACAGCTGTGCATGCTCTCAAGACCTCAAATCCTGCCCTCACCCAAGCCCAGGATACCCCTTCAGAACCTGAAGACATCTGGAATACCTGTTCTGCTCCAGCATAAGGTTCTCAGAAGCATTCACTGAGATAATGTACTATCTAATTTATCAACTACACATATTCTCTAAGGTGCCAGACTCTGTACAAAGAGCTCTTCCCAGACCATCTGGTTTTATTTGTGTAACCACTCCAGGAGGTAGGTGTTTCAGGGAGCCCAATTCTTCACCTGGGGACATGGAGGCTTAGACAGGTGAAGCCACATGCCCACACCTAGAAAGGGGAGGGCTGCCTTTGAACTGACCCCAGCTTGGCTTGGAGGCTGAGCTCTGGAGCAGTGATTGTTCCTGTGTAGCTGGATGAGACTCTGAAATGCAGACTCCCCATCAAAAAGTCTGGATGGGCATGCGATGTGGGATCAGATACATTTCTGTTGAGCTCTGGGGGATCAAGGGAGGCCAGTGTTGGTGGTCCTCTGGGGAGTAAGGTGCCTAGTGTATCTGAAGTGTGTTTACCAGGTCTCTGGGATTCTAAAGAACAAATAACCAGGGAAAGTGGCACACGTCTGTAATCCCAGCTCTCAGGAGGTTGAGACAGGAGGATCCCCATGAGTACAAGGCTAGCCTGCTCTACAAAGTGATACCTTGTCTCAAAAAACAAAATGACACACATATATAAAAAAAAGCAAGTAAGCGTTAGCTCATGTTGGCTTCCTCACAATCAATTCCTTTGCTGAAGTAGGCAGAGGAGAGAGTTAGTGTCCATTTCTGAGTCACTATGTTCTGGCCCCGATGGCAGTCCTTCAAACATACCTCATCATGTTTAATTCTAGAAAATACCCCGAGAAAGACATTCTTACTCCCATGATACAATCCTGAGTTTTGATGTGAGGTTAAACAAATTGGCTAGCAGCTCATTGCTAAAAAAGGATGGAGTCAGGAGCAGAGCTCTGGCTTATATGATTTTAAATAATCCTGAACGCATGACTTCTTCATTTTATGTCCAGCATTAATACAAGCGAGGACTGCTGAAGAAAGGATTTAGGAAGGGAGTTCTGGAAGTGTGAAGCCATTCTGATGCCAGCGTTGACGTTGGGCTTAGCACCAGCTCTGACCTGTGTCAGGAGCTCATTGGGAATGAACCTTTGTAACCCTGAAAACAACCCCGTGAAGGCTGTACTGTTACCACCCCCGTTAAATATGAGGACATTGGGCACAAAAATAACCAGGGGCAATGCAGCCAGGAAGGGACCACCCCGTGAGCTTTGCTGAGAGAGGCCATGCTTTTGTTTGTGTTGTGACCTGCAGCCCAAATACCCTCAGGCTTGAATTTTGCGTTGCAAATGTTGCTGCCCTGACCTGTTGTCCCTGGCACAGACTCTCCTACCCCAGGGTGGAGTGAGGGCTGCAGGAAGAGAGCCCCACCACGGAGACCACATGCATGTACCGGTCCCCCCTGGCTTATGGCCAGACATACTTACAACCTTGTGTTGGCCTTCTTTCTCCCCATCTCACTTGAGGATGTGGCTGCTTTTTGGACCAGTTTAGCCAAATGTACTTGGCAATTATGGCACGCTAAAGAATTACTGGGCTGAAATATACAAAATATATCTTTAAATAGGGCATCCATCAGACTGCAGTTCCACCAGTCTTAGCTGGTGAGCTCTCGAAAAGTGCTCACTTTCATCAGAACACTTTGGAGCATTGTGCCAATACGAATGATGAAACAAGTACTCTTGGGAGTTGAGGTCATTGGTGTCCACCAAAAGCACAGAAGCAGAAGATACCCCCACCCCCTGTTTTTTAAAAATAACATCTTGCTATGTTGCCAAGGTTGGTCTTGAACTTCTGCTCTCAAGTGATCTTCTGCCTCGGTCTCCTGGCAGCCTATAGACATGTGCTAGTGCTCCCAACTTACATAACTGTCTTAAAGCCGTGTGATGACTGCAGGTTGGCAATAGGTAGACAGCTTAGATCTCTTCCCTGTCACTTCTGTGACCATTAAGTTTGAAAATGTTCCTTTGCAGGGATCTTCACTGGAGTGTCTGAACTAGGATTTTCTTTAAAAATATTTTTCACATATGGAAAAAAAAACCCCTGCTTATTGCATATATAGATCAGTGGGTTTTATTTTGGCAGATTTGTATATGCACATAACATACTTTATTTTCACCACTCCCTATCTTCCCCTTCACCCCACCATTCCCACTAGTTTCACATATGTGTGCACGTGTGCATGTGTGTTTTGTGGATTTATTTTGATCTACCCATCCTCCTGGTCCAGGATTTTTCAAGAAGTAAATGTTCTTCACCTTTCTAGGGTATTCCAGTGTTTTGTTTTGGTTTTGCAGTACTGGGGATTGAATTCAGGTTCTTTGTGCTAAGCTACATCTCCACTCAGCCCATTAAAATTTTTTTAAAATTTCAAGACAGGGTCTTACTAAGTAGCCCAGACCAGGCTTGAACTTGTGATTATCCTGCTTCAGGATGTAGTGTGCCACTGCACCCAGCTCCCCAGTGGGTTTTATTGCACACCTTATGGATGAGTACTTGATCTACATGGGCCAAGAACTCTACACCAGTTAAATAGGAAGATGTATGAAGAGCTACTAGGAGGGGGAAAGGGATGAGGACAGAGGTAGAGAAAAATGACTTAATTTCATTCTATTTTCCTTTGTACTCATGAAGCTTTTCCCACTGACACCTGAATCAAAAGAAACAACCTACTTTGCAGTTGGCCTCCCAACACAGCTGGCCACATCCCAAAGGCTGGATGAGGGGAGGAGGAAGGGCGAGGTCTGAGTCATTTCCCAACCGAGAAAGACCTCAGGTTGCAAGCCAGTGCTCACTCCAGTGATGACGGAGACTCCTCTGCTTCCCAGCCGGAATGTGTCTGCCCCAAGCACCAAGCTGCAGTCTTTTCTGTTAACGCTGAGATGAAATCTCAGAGGTTGGGAACAGCTGCTCTTCCTTCTCTGATCTATGTTCATAGCTATTGTCAGCAAAAATCCCAAATGCAATCACTGGTTCCAGAGAGGCCACAATTTGATCAAATGAAACAATGTTTACTGATGTTTTCCTGAACAATGTTAAATACAAGACAGTAACTCTCTACAGCTAGACCTTATTCAGGGCAAGCATTCTCATGTGTAATCTAAACAAATTAGTCACTGATTTACATTAAAATCACAAGGGAAACAATGCCCGTAAGCTCTAAGATTGTAATGCCCTTTAAGTGTCTTCCAGGGGCTGGGAGGGTGTTGAACACAAAATTTCTACTTGGACTTCTTAGTCAAGAATCTTTCATAATAGTACCAACTTTTAAATCTTGAAATATTCACATTCACAGTTAAGCTTCATCTGAGGTTTCTTGAGTCCTGATCTATTTGGAAAGTCATCCCTGGCCATGAACTTGATGTACTTTCTAATCTCTATTATAAAGATAGTTCTCTTTGTTCTTTTCCAGAACTTTCTATCATCATTTTTTTAAAGATTCAAAACATGATTTAAAAATGTATATTGGATAATACATTAGTTAGCTTTAGCTGCCATAATACCATAAACTTGCTGGTTCAAATGACTGACATTGATTTTCCCACAGTTCTGTAGGCTACAAGTCTGAGATCAGGGTCTGGAATGTTCAGGGCCCTCTTCCTGACTTAGACATTGGCCATTTTGCAGAGTCCTCATGTGTTAGAAGAGAATGGGGTGGGAGCTCTCTTATCTTTTCTCATGAGGACACAAATCCTGTTATTTCTGTCAAGTTCCTTCATCTAACCCTAATTATCTTCTCCTAAGGTCCCATCTCCAAATACCATCAGGGGAGTTAGGGCTTCAACATAAGGATTTTGGGGACACAATTCAGTCCGTAGTAAACACCTAGGAGGTACAAAGCTGTTTTACTCTTTCTGTCCTGTCTGACAGGGATTGCTGTCCTTGCACACCAAGGGCCTCAGAAGCAGAAGCCTTGTGGTAGACAACCTCTGCATCCTGCCTGGCATTTCTCTGGCTCCTTTCCGTGGGGTGTCTTCCATTCGCTTGCAGCTTTAATGTCTCCGGTCCTTCTCACCTTCAGAAATAAGAGCAATGCTTTGGAAGTGTTCCTTGTGCTGCCACTCTTCTGTGATCTTCATGGCCAACATTCTCAGAGTCCTCTCCTTTAGCTCTTGCTGCTGTGCTGTCTGCCCTCCTGTTACTTTCTGACTTCCCGGCTGGCTGCCCTTTTCCCTAACTACTGTGGAAAGTTCTCTGGGAGGCTCCAGGGACTCCTGGCGTGGTGTGGAGGTGGCTGCATTTCAGTCAGCCTCTGGTTGCTTTGTCCCATCAGACATGGTTCATCAGGCTTCCATTCTTTTCTTTAGAGATAACTTTTATTGGTTTTCCATGTAAAACTTATACCTACTCGCTATTCACTTAAAAAATAGAGACAAGAAGACTGAAAAGGGGAAGAAAGAGAGTGAAGAAAAACCACATACAACATTAACCCCTGAAAGAGCCATTTGAGCACCACACATGCATCCATCTAACAAAAATAGCCACATACATCCACTTTTATAATTTTCTTTAAAAAAATGAATATATTTAGTTCTTTCCATGTCAACAAATATATATCACCACTTTGAGTAGCTTTTTTAGGGCTTTTAATCCATGCTGCTTAAGGTGTTCTCCTATGTCGCTCATCCTCTAGGACTCTTGCCAATGCTCAACTTTATACCTTTTCCTCCAGTATTTCTATTGTGGTAAAGTATATATCACATAAAATTAGCCCTGTTACCCCTGTTTCAGTGTATAATTCAGTGGCAATCACATTGTTGTGCAAATATTCCCATCCATTTCTAGAATTCTTTATCTTTTGAAATTGAACTTTTAAATATTTGCCGATTTGATAGGCAGTTGCTTAAATTTTGCATTTTAATTTCAGATGCGCTTTTGCTCATATTTTTTTTTTCCTCTTGGAACACTCTTCATACTTGAAATCCTCTCCTTTGGCCTGCTGGTCTTCCAACCCTGCATCTCCTTCTCTGTGGCTTTGGTTGATGCTACTGTGACCATTCTTTATGTCCTCTTGGACAACTTCACACATGCTACATGTCCTCCTAATCTCTTTCCCAATCCCAGCCTGGAACTAGCAGGTGTGTCCAATCTGTGACCCACAAGTTGGACCTACCTGGCTTACCTGAACCATGTTGAACGAAGAGAAACTGTTTTGGGCCACATAGAAAACATATAATATAGCTAATGTATATAAATAACAAAACTTTCTTATTTAAAATATTTTTGTCAGTAATGTGGCCCAGGTACTAAACACAACTGACCTAAAGTCCTGCAGACCTCCGAATGTGCTTGGTACTTGACTGTTGTGTTAACTGCTCCACTTGAGGCCTTACGTTTTGGTCTTTAGCTGCCCTTCAGCTTCCTGCTTAGGTCATACAACCACTGAAGATCACCTGGGATGCCCTCATCCTGAATAACCTACCTACTCCACCTTCCCATCAACGTGGCTGGTGCCTCCCTTGTCTGGTGTCTCTATTTTCCTAGTAGCTAGTCAGCCCTTGGAGAACAGACCTCACATCTCCCTCCATCCTTCTCTCCCTCCCCCCTCCCCTTTCTCCCCCTTCTCCCCCTTCTCCCCCTTCTTCCCCTTTACCCCCTTGGGCTCCCCCTCTTCCTCCTCCTCCTCTGACCCCTGGATTACAGTAATGGACTGAATATAGTGTTGCTCAACAGCTAATCTCTCAGAGTAAAGTTAATTTTGGAGGGAATCCTATCTTTCATTTTTTCTGTAACGTTCTCACTTAGCATTTTATTCATGAAAGTTATGATTGTGGTGCGACCATTATATTTCCAAGTTCTACCACCAATCCAGCATTAAGACCTAAAGTATCAACTCTGACACTTTTTAGAGAAAAGGCTTTCCCAACTTGCCCATTATATGTATTGCTTTCTCCTAGCACTGCCCAATAGAACTTTCTGCACCAATGGAAGTGTTCTTTATCTGAAATGTCCTGTACAGTAGCCACTGCTGTATTTCGTGACTGAGTTCTGTACTTGAATGTGTCTAGTACAACTCAAGAGCTGAGTTTATTTTATTTCAATTAATTTGAATTTAAACTTAACCTCAAGTGGCTAGTGGCTACTGGAAAGCACCATTATATTATAGAAGAAATGCCAACTACTGGCAAAATATTTTTTATGAAGATTAGAGGCATATTTTGATTTTTTCCCCCCTTTTCATGAGCATGTTAGAGCTAGAATAGCTTTTTAGGCTAAATGTTATATATAGTTCATGTGGTTAAATGGCAGGATAATTATTAAGGCCAGAATCTGGGCTTGAGACTAGTCCATTAGTAACCCAGCCAACAACATTCATGAATGTCCCAAAGCTTGATGATGTCTGCCTCCTGGCTCTGTGGGTGTGGGTGTATGCATTTATCCAAACACAAATGTGTCCTACTCAGTCACTGGAAGTTTGCATATTAGTAACATCAAACAGCAGATGCAAAGCTGGGAATTTAGCTCAGTGGCACCGCTCCTGCCTCTCAAGCACAAGGTCCTGAGTTCGATCTTCAGTACCAAAAAAAATCCCAAAACAAAACAGTGGATGCAAACTGTGGTTGCTAAAGCAAGGTAAGTGGGGATGGAGGACTATAACATCAATTTTGTTTTTCCTTTTCCAGAAGGTCAGCACACCAGATATTCTGAAATCTCTCCGTCAAGAAGATCCCAAACACTCTACTAGCCCTGTTTTGAAGCAAGAGAATCTCCCATCCATTTTAACTCCTACTGCTTTGTTCTCTGGAGGCTTGAGACATGTAAGTCTTGTCCAGGTACTGTGGACACAGGTGTGACATCAAAATGGGGATGTAACTCAGTGGCAGAGAATGTGCTTAGCATGCATTAGGCCCTGAGTACAATTCCCAGGACTAAAAACCAACCAAACAAACAAAAAACCATCAAACTGTATTGGTAGGCAGCAGTAAACTGTTGTGAGATAAACAGGAATCTGATAATAAGTATTCAGTTCGACTAGAAGCTGGGGTGAACTTCACTGTACTTTGAAGTAGTTTTTTGTTTGTTTGTTTGTTTGTTTGTTTGTTTGTTTTGAGACAGGGTCTCACTATGTAGTTGAGACTGACCTGGAACTCACTATGTTGCCCAGGCTGGTCTCGAACTGATAGTAATCCTCCTGTCTCAGCCTCCCAAGTGCTGGGATTACAGGTGTGTGCCATCATGCCCGGCAGAAGTCAGTTTATTTTACAATAACTTATTGTGAACATTTTCATACGTACAGAGAGTAACTACTAATAAGGTTTTAATTTTGATGAAGTATTATTTTTCAAAGTTTTTTTATGATTATTTTATATCCCGTCTATCCACAGATCATGAAAATAATCTGTTTTCATCTTAAAAGCTTAATAAAACTTGAGTCTTTGTGTTTAGGTCTATGCATGAGTCTATCAATTCTTTTGTAAATCATGTAAAGTAGAGGTTGAGGCTAATTTTTTAATAGGATTAGTTAATCTATTATCACTTTTGTTTTCCCCAGTGACTTTGACATATTTTATGAAACTCAAATCACTCAGGCTTTCTCTTGTGTTCCACCAGTATCTAGTTGTATACTTATGCCAGGACCATATTGTCTTGTTTAGCTTTGTAGTGAGTCTTAAAGTCGGGTAGAATAAGTCTTTTAATTTTCTTTTTTTGAGATTGCTTTGTACTGTTTTTAATCTCTTCTATATTTATAGGCAGGCATTTTTATCTACTTCATTAATTTCAAAACATGGAGTGCTACTTTTTGCCTAGAATTATGATATATCGTATGGTAAATGCAGCTTTGGATGAGGGGATGAAGGCCTCAGTTATCCATTGGCTTATTCTGCTCCAACTACTATAGCACGGTACCGTGGACTTGGTAATTTATAGGCAATAGAAATTTATTTCTCATGGTTTTGGAGGACAGAAGTCTGAGATCAAGGCACTGGCAGGACTGGTGTCCAGTGTAGAGCAGTTGCTCATGAGGTGGCTCTGTCTAGGAGCCCTCACATTATGGTGAAGACAGAGGGACCAGGGACCCAAGTCCTGCATGAAGCCTCTTTTACAAAGGACTTACCCATTCCCAGGAGCTCTAGTCTCATGACTTAATCACTTCCTAAAGACCCCACCTAATAACACTGTCTTACTGGTGATTACATTTCAGCACATGGACATTTAATACCATGGCAGCAGTCACGGTTCTTTCTCTTATCATCTGACCTTAGACCATCACAAAGACTCAAACTTTAGAGACCTCATCAGGGAAATGGGTGTCAGTTCTTTTACTAGTGTGACAGTGTAGTGGAGCTCCCTAGAGACCATCTTCTGGCTCGAATTGCAGCTCTTTTATTCCAGTGGCAAGGAGTATGACCAGAGCGGCCTTTAACCAGTTTATGCATCAAGGTATTGAGTTTTTATATAAAGTGGTATTTGGCTCAGATAATTAGGCACTTCCCTCTGATCAAGAATGCAATGAATGTTCAAGTATTCATTTTAAAATTTATTTTGGTAAAAGACACATCGCCACTAATTCCGCTTAAAATACTTCCTTTCTCCTCAACACATTCGTCTCATTATTCTTGCCTCTTTCTGAGAAGAGTTCTGGAAGTCCTCTTTCATGAATGTCTTTAGTTGTGCTGTTATTGCTGTCTTGATGCCCTGAATCCATTCAAAACATTTACCTTTTGCGGCCATTTTGACTTTGAGAAAGAGCCAGAAGTCATAAGGTGCTACATATGGTGACAACGTAGATAAAGACAAAGCATAATGTGTTCATTTGACAGAAATTGTTGTAAACTGGCTCCCACCGAAGGGCCTGTCTCCTTCAAAACCATTGCTCTGCACCCTCCTGAAAATGTGGGGTATGACTGGTGACACCTGAGACACTGTTACAATGCAGAATTTTGGGCCCTCCCAAGATCTGCTACGTCAAAGTGTATAACCTAACAGAAACCCAGGAAATTCATTATGTATGGCCAGGTTTGAGAAACACAGTTGAGTCCTGGCTATTTTGAATTTTGAGGAACTGTTAGAACTTGGTAGGGATTCTTGAGTACTTCAGGGCTGTGCTGTTCTACATGGTAGTCATTAGTCACATGTAGCTGCTGAGCATTTGAAACATGGCTGATTCTATGAGTTTAAAACACATGCTGGTGCTGCCGCCTGCCTGGAAAGCACAAGGTCCCAAGTTCGATCCCTGGTACCAAAAATAAAAAACAAAAAAATACATGTGGGATCTGGGAGACTTTAGTGTGAAAAAGAGCAAAATCTCATTAATAGTTTTGCAGGGTCAGGGGTGTGGCTCAGTTGTAGAGCATTTGCCTGGCATATGTGAGGCCTTGGCTTCAATTCGTATCACCAAACAAAAGCTGTATAGATGCATGTTGACATAATAGCATATAGAATTTATTTGATTAATAAAAGATACTATGGCCTACGTAAAACGACATTTCTACCGGGCAGCACTGAGCTGGATCCCACTGTGGTACATTCAGTAGCACCCAGAGGAATAGCTTTTCCTTAGGGTTCTCAGGGGCATTGTCTACCATGTGCGGGGCATGGACACTGGACACTGTCTTGAGAAGCTCTATGTTCTCATTTGGTTCTCAAGCAGGTGAATGAGTGCAGCGGCTGAGGACCAGGGTTCTGCTCTGAGACACACATGCTGTTCACACAAGTCCTGTCATGGAACCACCCCATGCCCAGGTCCTGCTTTGGGTTGTATAGCAGAGCCAAGAGCCAAATTTCTGACTGCTGATGCCTTCATTTGTTTGGGCTGCTATAAAACAACTACCATAGATTTGAATGGCTTTAAAACAGACATTTATTTCTCACAGTTCTAAAGTCAAGAAGTCCGAGATCAAGGCACTGGCAGAACTGGTCGGGTAAGGACTCACTTCCTGGTCTGTTGATAGCACCTCCTGCTATGTTCTCACAAGTGGAGAGAAAGTCTTCTTGGGCTCTTTTATTTATTTTTTATTTTGGTATCAGGGACCGAACTCGGGTCCTTGTGCTTGCGAAGCAGGCACTGGAACCACTGAGCTAAATTCCCAGCTAGGCCTCTTTTAAAAGCACACTAATCCCATTCACAAGGGCTTCACCTCATCACCTCCCAAGGCTCCCTCCTCATACCATCGCTTTGGGGACTAAGGTTCCAGCTAATGCAGGGACACAGATGTCCAGATCCCAGAAGCCCTCTTAGGTGCCCTTTTCATTGAACAAGTAACGCTGAGAGAAGTCTGCCGTGGTCCTGCCAGGATATTTCAGAAAGCTTGAGACCTTGTTTAATGACCAGCTGCTGTTTATAGTTGACAACAGTTTAGAAAGATAAAAAGCCTGAGGAAACACTTCCCTCCAGACCTGGTAGGCAAGGATGATTCCAGAACCTTCTCATGCCCTGAGATGGGCATGAGGCCGTGGGTGCATAACATGGCCTCTGTGAAGGTTTCTCAAGATTTACCTTGGAAAAAAAAATTTACCAGAAGGTTTTCCCCTACCTCAGGGGCAAGGGGCTCCCAGGAATCCAGCCCGTGTTTCCCTTTCTGAGGCTGACTAGGAAGGTGAGAGAGCCTTCACAAGAAGCAGTAGGGGCTTCTTATGGTTTAGATCTGGGGTGTCCCCCCAGAGCTTCGTGTGTTTGGAAGGTGATGGCATCATGGCGGTGCTGTACTCATCAGGGATTAGTCCTCTGATGGTTTCACAGCTGCCTTGCTCTTAATAGGTAGGGCCTGGTTAGAGGCAGGTCACTGTGAGCGTGACCTGGAAGGATACATCTCAAACCCTGAATCCTCCTTTCTCTCTGCTTCCTGGCCTACATATGTGGGCAACTTTCCTCTACTAGACCCTCCCACCGTGCTCTTCTTGCCTTGGATCCAGCAGTCTATGGACTGAATCTTCTAAAAACAACGAGCCAAAATAAACCTCTCTTTAATTTGTGGGTTTTGGCGTTGTGACTCAGTGGTGAAAAAGTAACTAAGATACAGTTTTCCTTAAATTATCCAGCATCCCTTAGAATGGGCTTGAAGGTCTTTCAAGCACCATAATCCTGTCTTTGTAGGTACAGAAACCAACATAGCCACGTTGGATCCCTGGGGTCCTGTGTGACCTGCCCACCCTGCTCAGACTTGTGCTCCCTTTTCTCACTTCACTCAGCCCCATGGCTGCTCTTGAACCCTCAGACACAACAGATGTCACCAAACCATTTTCTTCCTTCCTCGTGAGTCCTTTCTTGGAGGCTACAAGGCCACCTTCGAGCTCCTCTCCTGGTCCTATTCTCCATTCCACCTCCCTCACTTGCCCTCCAGTGTTTCCATGTTCTCAGCACCTTCGGCACACTGTCTAGCTTGCTTGTCTGTCGTTCTCAGCCATCTCCCCACTAGAATGTAGTTCCCAATGGAGCAGTGTCTGATGTACGATGGTCCTCAGGAAGTACCTGAGGGACAATCAGGTCATTGTGACCAGGCTGTTATCCTGAAAGCCTGTGCTAGCTGCTCCACAGTCTGTGGGGATACCACTATCCTATTTCAGAAGTGAGCATTAGGTGACTTGCTAGCATCCTACAGTGGCTTCATGACTGGGTCCAGCCCCTGGGCTTGGAGTTGGTTCTCAGGCTTTTGGTATCATCTCACAGGAGTGTTGGGCTGGTTTCCCTGACCTCCTTGCCTTACTTGGGGGTGATCCACACCCAGAGAGTTAAGAGCTGTGATGCTGGCCTAGGGAGATGGGCTTGGTCCCTGCTCCTCTAACTCAGTGAAAATTCAGTAGGGTTCTCAATTCTCAT